ATATCAATATATCAATATATATATTTTAAAAAAAAAATTATTAAAATCATTTTTTATTTTCATTTCAGGTAAGCTCTACAAACAATACATACCACATGCCACTTAGGCTGTGAAGCTATTTCCTGTGAGTCATTAGTCAAAGACATTTTAAATTGATCAAAATTACAACAACTAAGTGACAATTTAAATAGATAAAATATATATTTTTTGTTTATATTGAAATATTGTACATATTTGTGTTATATGAAGCTATATGATAGCTTCTCTAAGCTATCATTTTATTATGACGAAATCTAATTAAAAATTTACCTGCAGCTCAAAATTCCAAAAAATGAAAAAAAAACACGTTCTCATAAGACTCTCAGACGATGGTCATGTGTCAATCTGTTTGATGTTAGCCATCTATTATATTTTATATACATTATTTTTCATTTCTTATTTAGCAATCGATTTTTAACATCAAATTGTTATTGACATTACCCTAAAATTATCTATAAATTCAAAGGTGCCTCCAAAAAAGGTTTGCTTTGAGGCAAAGAGGCAATAACGTATAAATGACGTGTTTTGTGTTGCAACACCAAATAATCATTATCTTATCGTAACTAAACAATAAATGGAACTTTCTTTAATAGTAAAATAGGCCATTTGAGCAAATATTTAACCTATTGAAAAATGTTTTCCTTATCATTTGATTAAATGAGTTATTTTTAGATATTTAACTTTAGGCTTCTTTCTGTTGATATCGAAAGTTATAACCTGTTGAACTCATAAATTTCCCCAAAATCGAATTTCATATGCAAACATTCAAAAAGAATGTTTGGTTACTAAACATAGAATTGAGCTTAAGGTTATTTATTATTTACTTTAGTTAATATATTTGTTTAGATTATACAAATATATATAAATAATATATGATTTATGGTATAATGATTAACTTTCTCAAATAAGTTATTTATAAATAAACTGAAACTATATCTTAAATTTAAAGTTTAATGAATGTTAAACTTGATAAAAAAAGAGAAAAAAGTTTCTTAATTTTATAATGGTTTTTATATATTTTTTAATTCGGCTATAGGTCCCTTTTTTTGTTAAATAACATTCAACGTTCAATATTTTTTATTATACTCTATATTTCGATCCTCCTTGAGAGTCATCATCTATATTTCTAAATTTTTAATTTATCGCTCAAAGTTTAGTTTACATTTAACAAAATATAGGATTACCCAAAGCAATGGTTTCCAATTCTGAAACAATTATAACATAATTTTTAAAACATTTTAAAACTAATAAAATAATCGATTTATTACTTACTTACTTACTTAATTAGTTGGCCATTACAGACGTGAGTCGTCCTTGGCCACATCGAGTACCCTCCGCCAGTCAGCCCGATTAGTTGCTTGCTGTTGCAAGTTAGTAGTACTGAGCGCTTCCAAATCGTTGGTCACCTAGTCTTTCCACCGAAGATGTGGACATCCTCTACCGCATTTTCCACCTGCGGGTACCGAATCAAACACCTTTCTAGCTGGAGCACTTCTTTTTCCATCGACTTATTAGAAATAACAAATGTTTGCATCTTCTGTCTACCATCTACATCCAGCTTTGATCTGGATTACAGAAACTACTGAGAGTTCCTATCCCCGTCTGGTGTGAGGATGACATATCATTCAAAAGATGAATAATCTTTTGTTCATTTAGAGTCGGTTAGCAGCACAAAACATCAGCTATGGTAGTAGTGCTTGGTACAATTAATCAACTAAATATAGTTTAAAAGTCATATAGTAATTCATAACACATAATTCAGATTGCAAACATTTCATTGACGAAATTTGAACAGCTTTTAAGCATTGCTGCAAAGTACTATTGTAGTACTTTTTCTATTTGCAATGGACTCTTATAGTAGTATTGCTGCAGCTCTTGGTCTCTATTTTGTTTTATTTAATTGGTGAATAATTAGTTAATAAGTGAATAATAATTATTTATTTATTAGGAATTATGATTTCATGAATAAAAATAAGTCAAATATTATATATCTGTTTATTTATGCATTTATATTTTAAAATTTATTTATTTTTGCAATTCAAATGCATCTCTAATCGTTCTCTTAGTTAAATGCAAGCAAATGCAGAAATATTGCAGACAGACGACTTTGGGCAATGAGTGCGATTGCTGCCAACACTACGTGTGTCAAGTTAGAAATTTATATCCACATTAAGCAAAATCATCAACACGTTTTATGTTGCTGCAACTGCAGCCACCGAGGAGGAGTTTAGTAACGTGATGTTCATGAAAAAGATGCACTTGCATTGGTTTTTGTTATATTTGAGAATTTAAAATAAAAATTCTTATATACATAAGATACAAAGCTCACAGATGAAATATTAGTATAAACAATTTGTTGCTAATTATTTGCAATTTTTTTCCCCTTGCAATGCAGTTTGCAGTTTCTTTCCTTACCAGATGAAGTATAAAACTATTATAAAGCACAGCTCAACAGATTTTTATGTGCTAACTTATGACTAGCATATTTTATTATTTAAAATTACTGTATGAAATTCATTATATAATAATTTTTTAATACTTTGCAGTGTTTAGATATTTGCAAACTAAAAATAAATATTCAACTGTGTTGTTATCAGCAAAAAAATTTATTTCATTCACTAACCTTTTCCTTTAGCTTGCTCTGGCTATAGTAATATTTTCTTTATCTTATAATAAATTAAATAATAAAAAAATATTTAATGCGCGACTTGAGATAACCTTTTATGCAACTTAACCATTGAAGTTCAAATACCAAATTGGTTCCATTAACGTTTTTGATCCTACATTGAACTGTGAATGCTTGATTGCCTAATTCTCCTGGTTAGTGTAGTTAAAATATTATTGTTACTTTTTGGTTTCCATATTAAATTACGAATTTCCTGATAAGTTTTAATTATATAAAAAATACATAAAGATCAAAAACTAAGATTAAATCATTAGAAATATAGAAGCACTAAAAGAAGGTAACCATCATCAAGCCGAAATTCCATTAATACATCTCAACTCTTTTTCCTAGGTATACTAAAATCTAATTGAATAAATTTTCTATGCCAGCAAGCACGGGTCTATAAAAAGATCTTTTTATTAATAAAATGATTTGATCAGCTTTTAAAATTAATTTCTATCTTTTCGTAAGTTACAAATAATTAATTAAATCTACTCGTTTTGTTTTTTCTACTCGTTTTTCTCTACTCGTTCTGATCTTTTAACTCTCAATTTTTGTTTTGTTGTTTTGTTGTTTTGTTGTTTTGTTCATTGAATTCAAAATCTTTAGCAGCAGTTCAAGCAGAAAATCGTAAAGAAAAATCGTTAAGATCGGCCACGACAGAAATCGAAATAAAACTGCATTCCATTGTGAAGAAGAGAGGAAGACATGCATATCTTGAAGGGAATTCCAAGCCAAACAAACAACTCTTTCATAAAATAAAACAAAAACAAAAAACATAAAACAATAACAATAACAATAGTAGCAACGACAATAACTTTAGTACATAGTAGTGCTGGTATCTATAAGTTAGCAACTACATGCAAGAATGCACAGATACAAAGATAGAAATTTCTTTAGATTAGCAGCTTCTTTTTAACTTTGTGTGTTATGCGTATATTGATGATGGTTTTAAGAAAAGACTAGGCCATAAATGTAGTCTACTGTATTCTGTCGCCCTACATCAGGCATAATGAATGTAACTAGTAGTAGTAATGAAATGAATACTAGTAGTAATAAGAATTTTCGTACAAGACATATTGTATTATTACTTTTGTTTATTCTAATATTTATTCTATATTCTAATATATATTCTATATTCTAATAAATATTCTATATTCTAATATACATTCTATATTCTAATATATATTCTGTATTCTAATATATATTCTATATTCTAATATATATTCTATATTCTAATATATATTCTATATTCTAATATATATTCTATATTCTAATATATATTCTATATTCTAATATATATTCTATATTCTAATATATATTCTATATTCTAATATATATTCTATATTCTAATACATATTTTATATTCTAATATATATTCTATATTCTAATACATATTTTATATTCTAATATATATGCTATATTCTAATATATATTC